GTAGTTGTCTTGACCAAATTAAATAACATAGTTCTCGAGTTTTATGTGTGTTTAAGGAAAAATGTTAAACTAAAAATTACTTTCTTCTATACTTTCAAGCATTAAGAAGTGTTACTTTGTGATTTATCTTTTTTTTTTATATTGTTCATATATTTGATTTCTTTTACAGGTCAATTTAATCCTAAAAGATATTTTTTTAAAGGCACTTGCAGAGCTACCTATAATTGTTGTCTTGATGTACCAGCTATATAAAATGAGTGTTCATAAAGATGTCGAAGAATTTTATATCTTAGATAATGACAACTATTACTTTACAACCCACAGCTCAACAGAGGTAACTTAATTTTAATATTACTCACACATTTTTTGACAATAGAAAGTTTAATATTAGCGACTATGCTTCAATGTTGAAATAGTCTATGAAATGATAAAGTTTTAATAACTGTCTCTTTGTTTGCCAAATTACTCTTAGATGATAATTTATCTATATAAGATAACTAAGAAATCTCTGAAAGTATGAAACATGTTGCACATGCTTCAAATTCCAGAAATTAGAATCAGTTTTCAGTTGATAATGATCATTGTTAATGTTTACATAACTTTTGATTTATCTGGCATTTATTCTCATATTTGCAATAAAGTATTTGTTTTATTAAAATTTTCTTGTATCTAAATAAAAACTAATTTAAATTTAGCTGTGTGAAATATCACTAAAATATATAATTTTGATTAATTTCAGTACAGTCATGAGAAAACAATTTTCCAATTTTATAGAAAAACTCATACATCCAATAAAATTTCAATTAATTTGCAACATGTCCTATATAAGATAACAATAAAGTATTCTCTTTGATAAAATGCATCTCAATGTGGATATATAATTTTCTAATTCTTATTCTGTTTGGATCAAATCATCTGAACTTAGAATATAATATTTTTTAAATATCTTACAACCAGCTCATAATGTAGTTAAGAAATAGTTAGCCTTAGAAATATTTATCAATATCACAGAAAATTTGATATTTTTTAATCTTGCTTAAAAATAAAAGCTTATTAATCCTTTTTTTAATTGAAACAACTGTTGCATCCAAATGAAATCAGATTTATTTTATGGGTCTCAGTTTTTATTCTTGTCCTTGATTGAAGCTGGAATGTCTTTTCTTTTTTCTTTGAAAAGGCTTGCAGCAAAAATATTGCAAAGTGTAAGTTTTTTCAAAATATCTTAAAACAATGCTATATATTCAACTCAAAAAATTGTCTAAGGAATGTTGACGATATCTTGTATAATGTATTTTATTACTTTGTTACACTTATTAAAAATAAAATTTTCTTAATTGAGACAAATATTTTACTTTGGAGTACAATGTAACCTATTAAGTTGATCAGCCCATTAGGTATACCNACACCACTCTTGTATCACCTTTTAATATACTGACCACCTCTCAAACTAGGCCATCAAATTGGTACATTACAAATGGTCAACTTGCATGATTTTTGCTGCAAAATCCATTTTATTGATTGTTGTTTTATCCTACTTGCATGCAGGATATACCTTAATGTCCTTCTTTTTTACTTATTTTATGTTTTATACCAAATGATCAAGTCAGAGTGGTTTTATGCAGTGAAACTCTTCAATATTGTTTTTTACTTATTCAATTGAATTTTGTGAAGGAATTTTATGTTCAATGACTCTGTGGGACAAAGTTAAACATTAAATTGTATACATTTAATTTGTTCTTTGGGAAAAAAAGCAGACAAAATGCAGAATGTATACAGATTTATAAAGTCAAGCTAATGAAAATAAAATTGATGTATATTCATATTTGAAGCCAGGTAAAAGAAAGGCTTGATATGATGATATATTTGGTTAATCCCTCCACCCGTATTTCCTTGCTTACTTGTTTATTAGTTCACAGTGAAGGAGAAAATTTATTTTTTTAGAACTATTTTAACTACCGGAATTTTTCTGATTATTAAATTCATTTTATTATGTTGTGAAAAGAAAATAATTTCTGAGCATTTTATTTTTGACTACTGTGATTTAACTGTATCATTAATACAGGAACCTCCAATTATAAAATCCCTGAATTGTAAAATTAGCTGCTTTTTACTATTATTTCAGCTAGAACGGAATCATTTTAATATCAAACTATGTAAAAACCATCTTCTAATGAAATTATTATCGTTATCTAAAGACAAACTTTTGTATGGCTTTTGTTTAAAACAATGAAAAACTTTGCTTTTTTTGTTTGAATGATTAGAATTTTCTATATTCTCAAGTTTTGAATAAATATAAATAATATATTCTTGTCTGTTGTCTATGAACAAAGTTACTGGTGTTGATTGTATTTTGTGTTGAAATTGAAGGGCAAAAGTTAAAAAAATTAGGAAAAAGGGAGTCTAAAGGAGTCCAAACGAAAACTGTTTATGTGCTAAGAAAAATTGTAAAATGCCGATCATTCAATGTCATGGATCCTCAATCATTCAATAAAGTGAATCTAACTTCAATGGATTTAGGAAGAACTCTTGATTTCTTAAAATAAACTTTACTGAAAAGAAAAGGATATTTAATGTTTTAGAAACTCTGATATGCTTTCAAACTATGGTGAATCTTTAATTTAAAATTTTGCTTATCAAATATAATGTTTTAAAATCCTCCTGCAAGTTAGAAAATGCTGCTCATGTTAATGTCAAATGTAGGTTTTGCAAAAATAAAACATAAATGTAGTAATCAATTTAGTTTTTAATCAATTTAATTTAGTTTAAAATTCAATTTTGAAATGACTTTTTCCTACATTTTGGTTTTTAAAATTTGCTGCTTTTTAAAATCAAGTGTTCTAAAAATGGATGTGATTTTACAAGGCAGCATGCACTGTATTTATGTTTATCTGAGTAATATTATCCTAAATTAATTTCAAATTTATTTTAATTCAAATTAAGATAATAATTTAACCCAGTTGTGATTTTAATTTGATTTTTTTTTTTTGTAGAATGTTGTGAATGAATATTCCTCACAGTTTGCTAAAGGAATGATAGGATTGTTGTGTCTATGTCCGCAAGAAGTGGCCAACTTGCTCAAAGAATTGCTTGTAGCAGCCCGTCATATTTTAGCCACAGAGCTAAGAGATAGTAAATGCTTTTTTTATTACTTAAATATGTCTTGTTTTTTTCCTTTATCCTGAAACATGTTTTTTTTCTCTTTATTTTTAAATAAAGGACTCATTTTTGTTAAAGAAAATTTTAAATTTAGATACCATTTGAAAAATATTGTTTGAAATGTTCTCTGTGTGTACTAGTTCTCCTTATTTTTTGAGAAATTCTTTAATTTTTGTGCCATTTTCAGAATTGTGCATATCTCACTAATTATATCTAAAAATTAATGACTGTAAGAAAAGGAAATTTAATAAAGATATAATAGCAGGATTTTTTTAAAAAAGAATAGCAAAATTATATTTTAAAACAGTCTTTTTCACTCTTAAATAATTTAAATACTATTATTTTAAAATTAAACTGTGTTATTATATATCTATTATTTGATAAGATAGAGTAAAATACTTTTCATAACTATGTGCGAACAATTAAAAAAAAGGTCAACAAAATTTACATCTTCAACGTCTCTAATATGTCCAGTGTTACCCAGTCAAATTTTATTTAAGATCATTCAAAGCATTGCTCCTGCTCTGCTTGTGTGATTTTAATATAAATGTTGCATTGTGTTCATGATAATCAAATGTGGAAATGAAACCTCCAGTTTTTCTCTCTTTTTGTTTCTCTGAACTGATTTTCTTTTCTTTTTTCACTGCCATGTTTAAATGTGTGATTTCTATGGTAGTCATCAGTATCATTATTAGATTGGAAACCTAACTGGAAAATATTAAAAAAAAAATTCTATTTTTATTACTATAAAAATTCCTAAAATTCCTTATGTGTAAAGTATTTAGTACATTTTGCAAAAATTATCATGAAATTTATAATATTTCATGAAATCGACTGGATTTTTTCCTATGCTGATGGGTAAAAAACTAATTTTTTGAAAAGTAAGTACTTGAAAAATGAGAACTATACAAATTTCTTGCCATTTTATTTTTTAAAACTTACTGCCATGAAATAATAAAAAAAAAACAAGTTTGTTAAAGCTGGGGGTTTGTTAAAGTCTGTCGTCTGGGAGCAAAATTATCTACAAATTTAAATTTCATGAATATATTTTTTCCTTAAAACTCCTTTTTGGAAATAGTGTTTTAAAAATTAAAGCTCGTGTTTTTCTTGTTTTTTTTTCCATTTAACATTTTGTACTCAACATTTATTTTAAAATTTTTTGCTTAATAAAGTAATAAAAGTTTCAAAATTTAAAATAAATGTTGAGATTGTCCAGTTTTTTTATTACATATTGCATTGTTTAATTTTATTGAATGATTTCAGAATACAAATTGTTCCGTGTGTGATGGTTGCATCTTTCGAAGGTTTTCTTTATCTATGAACTGAACGTTGAAATGGGAGGAGATCGTATTTAAATAAAACCGCACAGGTAGAAAATATTTGCTTCTTAAAAATAATAATAATAAACATGAATTGTGTATTATTCTCTTCAGAGTTTGGAATTTTTTTGCTAGTAAAACTTCCCATAAAAACTGTGGTTGGTTAGATTTAAAGACATCAAAACTATCTCAAAATTTTTTTGTTCGTAGTTAGACTTTTTTTTATATATATATTCGTCGTTGAACAATCTACCCAATTTTGGGTTTACGACTACTGCTAATGTTCAATTCCGTAGCCTTGTAATGTTGAAATAATCCAGAATACAATGAAACTCCTGTATCAGTACTCCCAGAGGTATGATGTGTTATCGGAACATGGAGGACTTTGTGACTCGACGGATTTAACGTGCATCTGTCACCATTTACTACACCAGGAGTCTTCGGCCGGCGCAGATCGAACCCACGAACTCTTAGTGCTCCAGTGCCCTACCAACCAAACTATTCCAGCCTCATAGTTAGACTTTGTAAAAGT